CGCTTTTTCATCCTGAATCCTTTTTCTACATTCTCTCTTCATATGTCCTTTTTTCCCGCAATAGAAACATTCTACGGTTTTATCTCCTCTCCTCTCGATTCTTTTCTTATCTCCCCCACCAGGCTTACCGGGTCTCCTTATCACACCCTTCTGTCCTTCTCTTACCGCTGCAACCAGCAGCCTAGTCTGCCGCTTTTCAGTTTCCTCTTCCCGCCTCACATACACCTTCTGAGCTTCTCTAAGTAATTCATCCAACCCCCGCTCCTGCCAGTCCTCAATTTTCTCTAACTTCTTCCTAATATCTCCCCACGATTTGGCCACGAACTGAGTTTTCAGCAACGCTTGTCCCACAGGAGTGGCAGGATCTACCCCAGAATATAACTGGAAGCTTCTCCTTAACCTTTCAAGCCATTCTGTCGGGGTCTCATCTTTTTTCTGCTGTTCACTAAAGGCTTTATTAATATTCTGTCCTCAGGGAACAGATTCCCGTATCCCCTGAATTATACTTGTTCTCAAGTCTGACATATTATTTCTGTGAGCCGGATCCTGATTATTCCAGTTTGGCCGATTTAAGGGCCATTTTTGATCCGCCGCCGGGCCAGCCTGATGTTGCTGGTCCCACACTCTCATCCCAGCCCCTCTAATCGTGTCCCTTTCTTCTACGGTAAATAATATGCCCAGGATAGACTGTAATTCATCCCATGTGTACAAATTCGGTCCCAAGAATTGATCCAGCCTCTCGGCTACCCCCAGGGGATCATCTAACAAACTCCCCATTTCCTTCTTAAATTCCCTTACATCCCCTGTATTAAGGGGAACTGCCACATACCCCGTTCCCAGTCCCCCCTGTCCATCCCCACCAGGCACTAACATTTCCCGAAGAGGAAACAATCTTTCCTCTCCTCGCCTTATTCTATTACGTGCAGACCTTCTGGGAGGGGGTGCCGGGGTCGGGGAATCAGGTTCCGAATCTGACCCTTCCTGGGCCTGGGCTATTTCCTGGCCTTGGGGTGGGTCCTGAGGCGGAGGGGCCTGAGGGGCATAGGGAGGGGGCCAAAGGGGGTCCTCATCATCTTTTCGAGGTTTATCTGGTCTGTTTTCCCTTAAGGCAAAGAGGAATGACGGCTCCCAGGATTGAGGAATCCATAAGGCAGCATATTCACTCTCCTCTGGGCTGGCTGGTGGTCTTTTATTGTTTACCCATATATTTAATTGTTGACACACCCAATCCTCAGAGGACCCGAACACGGGCCAGAGTACATGAGGATTGCTGAGAGGTTTCCCACCCCAAATCTCAATACAATAATTAATCATCTTTTCCTTAGACTTATCCTTTCTCTTTGGTGAACTGTCCCAATATCTTATCATCAGGCCTAGGGGACTATCTGGGGGTATGTCTGGTAACTTATCTTTCTTCCCCGTCCCCATGGGTCCAGAGGGCTTGCTTTTCCTCTGTCCCATCTTCCGAGATGCCCTTATCCACACACACACTCACTTCCCCTCGGTCGTGACTCGCTCCCTCGCGGGCTACGAGAACTGCACTACTGGAGGGTCCGCACTCGCGTGATCTCAGAGAGACCTCTCACACAGTCGCACCTCGGGATAACCACCCCAACCAAACGGCTCACAATTTATATACTCACCCGCTCCTGGGTCTTCGTTTGGTCTTCGTGCACAAAATTTAAGGGGTCCTGCAGGTTCCTTTGCTCAGTTATCGTAATTTAAAGGGGTTCGCGGGTCCAGGGTGTGGTGACGACACCTCCTCAAGACGGGGCTATCCGGGGATAGGGCGCCTCCCCGCTTGCGAGGGTCCGCACCGAAGAACCTGGATCCGAGTCACAGCACCAAGTTTGTTATAGACGCTCGTGACAAATTGGGGGAGCCAATTTGTATTAAATAAAAAGATTGAATTTATTAGCAAGCGATAAGAGAGCAAAACAGCGCTGGGCGGCCGGGGAGTCCGCGCTCTACCAACGGCTCGCAACTTTATGTTATAGTTACATCTCTTATATACAGTTCATGCACCCCTTTCTTGTAAGTCTCCACCTTGTCCTGCTTCTTCCTTCTTCACTCGTGCAGGTTTGTTACTAGGCAGATTCGGTCGATCTTCTCAAGGATGAGTGTCTTTTGATGTAGAATGTCTTTTGATGTGGAGAAGTACAGTCTTGGCAGAATTAATCCCCTTATCTGGTAAATTGTAGCTGTTGTCTTTTCTCTCCTTATCTAGTAAGTTATAGCTGTTGTTCTTTTCCCTCCTTAGCTAGTAAGTTATAGCCGTTGCCCTTTTCCCGTGACCTTTACGCACCATTTAAGCAGGCCTTGTTATTTACACAAGGCATCTGCTAAATCTCAATATGTCTC